ATTCTCATAACTACATAAGGACTGCTGTTTTAAAATCTGTCCTTGATTTTTCATTTCCAAATCATTTCTTCCTTTATTTGTATTTTCTCTAGAAAGACAGCAAAATAATCTTTTAAATCCCTGTCTATAATTTGGGCTTTGTGCGGCGTAGAGAAGAGGATTTACGAAAGAGTTAAGAATGAGGAGAAAACGAACTGTTTTGTGGATCAGGTGAAGTGTGTCAAAGTTTTCGATTATCGTAACCTGTGAAACAAAACTAACATACAAGAAAAATACAGCGAATGGCATGCAGCAGATTACAAAGGCTGCTACGAGAGATGCAAGCAATTTAAGAAGGTGTTTTCTGGATTCCTTCTCCTCCACATCACCTGTGCGTTCTCGATATATATCCCCCAAGAAGTAAACTCCGTAGAAAATACGTAAATAACAAAATAATATAACCACAGCGGGAACTATCATAAATACCAAACAGAACACGCTTATGTAGGCCTTTTTTAAACCCTCCAGATTATTGAGAGTCCAAGGTCGATTACATGGATATTTTTCAGCTCTTTCGTCATAATTGTTGGATAATATTCCTGGTATACAGACAAGTGTAGCTAACGTCCATGTAGCTGCAATGGCGAAACTAACGTTTTCTTTCCTGAGTCTTGAGTTTGTTTGAAACGGTTTAACTAGTGCAACGTATCTTTCAACAGCAACAACAACCAACATAAAGATGGACTCTAGTATAGTTATAGAGAGAACCGCATTTCCTACGAAAATCTTGCAAACAAAGTCTCCGATAGGTTGACTTAAACTGACGCTTTTTAACGCAAAGTCATAAAATCCAGGGCAAAATAGTAGACTTATCAGATCTGCCACCGCCAAGTTCGTCAGTAAAAAGTTTGTTGTCGTGTGCATTGATGGCGTTTTACGCACGATGGTGATTATGATAACGTTTCCCACAACACCAAAGAATACAATGAAAGAGTACAATGAGGCAAACACTATGTCTACGGTAGTAATGAAATTAGTGTTGTTACTCATAATTCTGTTGCCATCCCTTTGAATCTTCTGCCAGGGTCACCAAGACAGCTTCATTATTAATCAAGGTCATATGGAACCTGAATATTGAGGCAAAAATCGTAACAGCAGAGCTCGACGCGCGCGAACCGCGCTAGCGAAGCCCCATAGCTAAGTAAATCTACCCATCCCTGAAAATTTGGTAATCACTTTACCGTACGCCGACCGTATCGGGCGCTCAGGTGTCGACCCATCGAGGTCGAGTATTTTTGAAGTTATCCGCCGACAAGTTACTAGTTTTCAAATGATCGAAGGCTCAAGTTTAATTGTTTTAAAATTCATATTAAATATGTTGTGTTTATCTATTGTTTTATTTATTTTATTTTATTAGCTTTGCCCTGATGAATACAAAAAAAAAACTGAAGATATGCAAATACTAGTAATAAGAACGTAGCAATACACTAATAATAACTTAAATAATTTGGGCAGGGAAAGCGCAACAGCTTAGGCCAATTACTGTGGACCCAACCGCACACAGGTACAGGCAGGGAACACAGTTGCTTTTGACTTTTCTCACAATGGTCACGCGTTGGTCACGCTCTACGTCCAATTTTTAAGCTCTGATTGGTTAAAATTTGACAGATTAGTTCATGTGGAAATTTATGCAGCATCTTGAAACTTGCTTACTTTGACAGCTGAAGCTGACAGAGTTTTGTGTCAACTTGTGATGTTTTTAACTGTCTTTTTCTACTGGATGTACAAAATGAAATTCAGCTGCTATCAATAGTCTTCTGTTATTCATGGCTAATTTGTTTATTGGGTTTTTGGTTGCGAAATTCGTCGCTCGTCAAAGTCGGGAATCTGATTTCGGATGGCATCGTTTTCGTTTTTCACCTTGCTTGACGCGTAAGAGGGTTGAAAAGTCTGAAGCGATTCCGGCCTTACTTGATAGCTTCCAGGAGATGCATCTTGAATGGTAAACCTGAGTAATTACTGCATTTGATGTTTGTTTTTTTACATAAACAATGTCGAGCGTAGTTTATGCGGCTATTTAGTTTATAGACGTTTGTAAGATCTGAGACAATGATCTGACCGGGTATCAGGTTCGATATAGGCTTACAGAACTTTAAAAGGCCTTTAGACATTTTCTCACCGGAAATAGAAAGAAAACGTCCCAAAGAATATCTAGTTATAATTCTGGCTGTAAAAGAAAGCTTTGAGCGATTTTCTTGCCTCGAGTTCATCTTTGAAAAAAGCAAACACCGTGAAACCGGCTTGAAGACTCAGGATTTTCAGAGACACTTTAATTCTTGTCTTCGTGAATGAAAATTGTTTTCTCTGGNGGAAATTTATGCAGCATCTTGAAACTTGCTTACTTTGACAGCTGAAGCTGACAGAGTTTTGTGTCAACTTGTGATGTTTTTAACTGTCTTTTTCTACTGGATGTACAAAATGAAATTCAGCTGCTATCAATAGTCTTCTGTTATTCATGGCTAATTTGTTTATTGGGTTTTTGGTTGCGAAATTCGTCGCTCGTCAAAGTCGGGAATCTGATTTCGGATGGCATCGTTTTCGTTTTTCACCTTGCTTGACGCGTAAGAGGGTTGGAAAGTCTGAAGCGATTCCGGCCTTACTTGATAGCTTCCAGGAGATGCATCTTGAATGGTAAACCTGAGTAATTACTGCATTTGATGTTTGTTTTTTTACATAAGCAATGTCGAGCGTAGTTTATGCGGCTATTTAGTTTATAGACGTTTGTAAGATCTGAGACAATGATCTGACCGGGTATCAGGTTCGATATAGGCTTACAGAACTTTAAAAGGCCTTTAGACATTTTCTCACCGCAAATAGAAAGAAAACGTCCCAAAGAATATTTAGTTATAATTCTGGCTGTAAAAGAAAGCTTTGAGCGATTTTCTTGCCTCGAGTTCATCTTTGAAAAAAGCAAACACCGTGAAGCCGGCTTAAAACATATACTTAAGCTTTAAGCTTGAAGACTCAGGATTTTTAGAGACACTTTAATTCTTGTCTTCGTGAATGAAAATTGTTGTCTCTGGATATGTTTCACAAAATTATATTTCTTTTATTGATTGTCAGTAGTCTCTCTTGCAATTTTAATCGCTGTGCCGTTTGTTTTCAGTTGTTCAGGAACATCGCTTGCAGTAGTACTCAAAATGCCGCGCGTATCAAACGCTTTTGAAGATTACACATCGTTATAAAACCACTAAATAAAAAGTAAACATGATAAATTCTTTATTATGTTGAAGCGTAACTCTATTAATGTTCATTCAAACACTCCACAGCTCGCAACCGGTTGGCCGTATAGGTGATTTTGAAAAATTTTAGCGGTTTCGCTAAAAGCCCACGCGCGCTTCGATCGTCCTAAATATTGAATGAGTGCAATTTGTATTTCAAAATTGTGAAATACTGCATTCTGTCCGAGGTCTTTGTGATAAAAACAGCGCCTCGTAGTACTGTTTTACCCCTGATGGGATGTATAAAAAATGTAAAAGGTTGGTTTACACGCCCCCAAATTTGTTTGCAAGATTTTGTAAAGTAATTGTCGAACGCAAAAATTCGGAATGATTTGTTTTCCAAAAATTAGTCTTTTTCAGGTCTAATCTACTGTGATGAAGAGCCATTATGGCTCTTAAATGTGATCGAAGATGATTGCTATTTTAAGGCTATCAACTCGATGTAAGGTTTGGCTCTCTCTTGGACTGTTTGCAAATTAGTTTTCTCTGAAACCACTAAATAGCCTCTCCATCCCTCAAAAGTCACATGAATTTGTTCTAAAGTTAACTGATTTGTGGAATACAAGTTTATTGTATTAATAAATTACAAATTTATTAATGGGAGCTTCGCTTTTAGCTCTGGCGAAATCTATATATTATTGTCTACTTAAAATAAGTATTCGTCAAGCTTCATGGATTAAGTAGGAACGTGTGGGTTGAATGAAAGGATCTTGAAGCATTGAAAACAATCGAATTACCGAACATATGTGTGCTATTCAGCTGTCATCTACACACAGGCGTTTTGAGGTAGTGACATTGACGACATTTAAAAGTATAATCACGACAGAAAAGGGTTTTTAGTAAAACAATACTGTTTTCAGTGTACCAAAAGCTATTTAAAATTCACAAACTATCTTTTTAACTGAGAAGCGTTGAGTGAGCGACAACTAGGATAGACCCTATTTTTTAAAACTGCGGCCTATTCATCATTTATCGGCCATTCCGGTCAGTCAGTCAGTGAGTGAATCAATTAATCTGTTATTCTATGAAACAGTCAATCAATCATTTCTTTAGTTTAAGTCTTAAGCCAGGAACATTTAGCTCATGATTCTATATCTGTTTTCCACAAGATTAACGCCATATCCGTCTAGTTATTTTATTTTAGATATAATTAAAGGTATAAGAAAGAAATAGACCTTTTTGCTTGTATATTTTTTCAAACTTTCAGAGACGTAATGTTCTCAAGGGTATTCTCCTTTTATCGTTAGACATGTGCAGATGGATACCGCGACATTTGAAGGAAACAGTTCTCTGCATGGGGTAACATCACATGCTCTGAAATAGGATAACAAAACATGTATGCTGAAAAAGTCTATTCCCCCATTCAAATCTGATTGAGAAATGCATGAGCCCGGACAATTACCTGATTAAGATATTTTCAAACTTGACAAAAAAAAAAAAACCTGCTGTGACGGTTCTGAAGAATTTTAAAACGTGCCCACGGAGTTTTACATTTTTGCTGTTCTTGCTTTACGTCTTTTAACCCTATTCATACCCGGGTGGGCTTTTGCAGCACCACTCACGAGAAAGTTGAATAACTTCAAAACAGTTTAAGCTATGACCACCAAACTTAGCGACTTTTCCTAAAATTTATCTGGGAACATTTTAAAGTCACCGAGACGTGTATGCCAACATTAACGTTACTGTGGCAACCCTAGTTTTGACCACCATGTTTTTCAAAATTTGCATTTTTTATAAAAATAGGTGTTACCCCTTATCTTTATTGATGAAATTATTATATCACACTTAATTCAGCATTGTCTTATCAAAAATATTATAACTGTTAAAGAAATCTAGGCTTTTTAGTGACTAGTTTGATCATTTCTCTGGGAATTTCACATTTTGTAGAGGTATTTCGCTCTCTAAGCATCTGTTTATGCTCGTATCAAATTTTCTTTTAAAAATTCCTCGATTTACTGGGGTTTTAAGTAAACTGGCCGGAATACACTTGGCGAATCCAAGATGGCGTATTGTTGCAGTTCTATTTAAAAATGAATGATTTTATCATCACAGCTATTGTTAAAGATTATTTATATGTTGGGCAACTTCTTGATTTTATCAAACACCTTTTTATCAAATTTAGATTCTGCCATATAAGTTAAATAATATGAAGTCATAATGACGTCATATTACGTCATTGTGTCAATCAAGTTATGTCCAGAAATTGAAGGATCTCCGGAGAACCCCTTCCCCTAACCCCTGATTGCAGGAAGCAAACGAAAACTTGGTCTGAATAGGTTCATATAGCGTGTCGGCCTGATTAAAAACGAGCAACGGGAAAGATTAGTGCTTTTTCGAAGGCGTTCCCGCATTCCAGCAATAGGTTCCCGTGTTCTAGTTAAAATGCCAAGAACATTGTTTCGTACATTCTTATTTACTGTTTTGTTTGTTTGGACCCTATGCCCTATTGTTTACACACGCTTTTTGCTTGAATTTTTTAAGATCATTTGTAGTGCAAGTCTTGAAAGTGGTTGACTTCGAGGCATTTGCATTTAACATTGATTTCGTTTCTAATCAGTAAATCTCTACCGTTTCTTCCTCGATCGAGGTCAAGTCATACAACAGTTTAAGTGTCTTTTCTTCCTCACTTTTAGTTCCTGAGTTCTTTTAATTTACTGTTGTTGTTGTACGTCTGTCATTTGTATTTCTATGCAACTTGTTATTTTGTTATGTATCATTTATGGTAAAGTGACGAATTGAAACCGGTGACGAGCTTTTGCAAATTGGCTGTAATAGCCGCAAATACATTTGAAAAGAATTCTGAATCTGGAGTACAAAGTTGACCAATCTTGGTTCAATTTACTTCAGGACATCACTATCACTACAAGCAGAAATAAATTTTTGGCTAGAAATGTTTAAAAAATAGATACTTTCGACCAGCTGAACTACGGCCTACAACCGAAACGGGCGAAATGATTTCGCCTGTTGAAGACCGTAGACCGTGACGTAGTTCAGACGGTCGAAATCTTATTATTGTTATTATTATTATTATTATTATTATTATTATTATTATTATTATTATTATTATTATTATTATTATTATTATTAATGCTATTATTATTATCATTATCAATAATTATTATGATCACTATTATTATCTCAAATCAAATAATAATCAAACTTGACAAAAAAGATCACTTACAAGGAAAATTCTTCGACCTCTAGGACTATGAGATACATAACAATCAAGACTTAAACTTTTCATAACTTTGAAATGTTAACAAGATAATACTAATTTGCGTAAGAGAGATAAAAAAAACTAATTGCATTCGGATTGCAGGAGAAATCAAGAATAAAAATCTTACAGAGTTTTAATTAAATTTAAAAATTCGCTTGAACCCATCTCGAAAATTAGAGCTTTGTAATGCGTAAAGCAAGGGATTACAAAACGAATTTGAGAAAAGAAGAAAACGAGCCAGTCTATGAACAATATACAGTTTTTCATAGTTATCTTGAACAAAATTTGCACCAAGAAAAGTCAAGAACATGAAGTAGATGGAAAACGGTAGCGTACAAACAATGAATATTACAGTTAGTCGTATAAGAAGGGAGGCCAGTTGCTTCTTTGCTTTCCTTTCTGCTTCCGTGCCAACAGACTCCGAGCAGATGGTTTTGGTAAAATACAAGCCACGAATTATTTCAAAATAGCAAGCTAATAGTACAAGGGAGCTGACAAAACCAAAACAAACACACGTGAAAATAATGAAAGGCTTGTGAAGGGAGTACTCATCCAAACTCCAAGGGCGTTTGCATGGATATTTGTTGGACTCAGTGTCAAACGTGTTGGCTTGGATATCTGGTACGCAGGATAACAAAGCAATGAGCCAAAGCAGAGCTATGACATATCCAACGGTGTCTTTAGTTAATCTTAAATTACGAAGAGGCTTTACCAGAGCCAGATATCTTTCCACTGCAATCGTACAAACTGTCAGAACAGCTACGTTAATGGTAACTGGAACTACGGCATTTCCAGCAAACAACTTGCAAATCACATGTCCTGAGAGGCCTTGAATACGGACGTTTGTCAAAGCAAAATCATAAAGCCCGGGGCAGAGCAACAAAGTTAGCAGATCTGCCAAAGCTAAGTTCATCAACAGATAATTTGTTGTTGTGTGCATTGACGGCATTTTGCGCACGATTGTAATTACGACCACGTTTCCTATGACTCCGAGAAAAACTATGACACAGTATAATGTGGTGAAAGCAAGATCTTGAGCTGAGGTCATCTTGTCTTGTGAATGCAGATTTCCTTGGTGCTATCATTTATTTCATGTTCAAGCATGGTTTCCGCTAGCCAATTGAATTACTAGTGTCACTCGAGCTATTTATCAGCAGCCGATATCAGCTGGTTTTTCCGCACTAAGGAGTGTGAAAACCAATTAATTTTCACCTTTTACTTAGTCAAGTGTATTCTTTTCATCTCAATAATAAACATAGTCGTCTTGATAATCTGAAGCCGCAAATTCAAGCTAATGGTAATTACTCAGGAGATCAAAACCTTTAATGGCAGGTCGTCAATCAGTCGCTGGATAGGCAAGTGTTAAAATCGCGCGTTGACAAATAGTCATGCAGTAAGAAGTTCGCTAATTTGAGGCTTAAATTGCAAATGTATAAATGCAATATATGTGCCGGTGTTAATTCATCTAATGGAAATAAGAAAATATAGAAAGACATAAAATTTGGTATCCAACCATGTTTTTGTTTGTTTTCTTTTTTCGACTATATAGCAGCCCTCAATGAATTATTGTCCCATTCAAGAGCTCGAAAAATCTCTCAAGTTTCTTGACGGCTTTATGACGTTATGGTTGATCAGTTGTCATAGCCTATGCTTAGGAAATCCAAATGGAAGCAAAGAGGCTTTTACAAATAAGTACATGTATAGCCCCCTGTAATATAGTCACTGTTTACACGTCTAGTGTAACTGGAAGAACAAAAACACCTTCCTCCAGCTGTCTTTCTCTTGCTAAGTCATTAAGTTTTTACACAAAAATTAATGTTAATATATTTCTTTTCGTATTTTGTGAAGGTTGAACCCCCTTACTAAAGACAGTTTCTGCAAAGTGAAGCTACCGGAAATGCGATGTGCGGTAATTTACCATAATTCGTTCTATTCATTTCAGAAGCTACATCCAAAACTAACAATACTCAGAAAAGTTTAAAAATTGCATATACATGCAGGCCCTTAATAAAACTTGGCTGCGCGTGGTTTTTTCACCTACATTCTAGGTAAAGTCTGGTTATCATACGAAACATTACTACACATTCGAATAATTGGTTATTAGGCATGAATGGTGTATTCAATTTTGTGAATGAAACAGTTGTACAAATTATTCAATGCCTTTCCCTACTGAGAAACACGAAATTAGGTGATAAAGCTTTCATTGTATATGTTTGCTTAAACCTTGATAGGTGTCAATAGGACCATTTCAACGAGGCAAAATAAAAAGCCGCTTGACATGGAAAGCGACTGAGCTTATAACAAGCGCCTTAATAACCTAATAAAAGGTTTTAACAGCTGCTCTTACATAAGACGCATCTTACCTGAAACAACGACTCGTACAAATGACCTTCGTGTCTGTTATATGATGCGAACACGTAGTACGCATCACTGGCACATCCAGACCCTGAGATAAAGGGGGGGGGAGGTGTCAAAAAATTCGGACCTCAGTTTGGTCTAAAAATAAGGGGGGCGGACCCCTCCCCTGGATCTGCCACAGCGCATTCAGGGCTGTCAAAAAGTTTTTAAATAGCAGGCTGATAATGAATAGTAGGCGGCTTTGGAACTCGCACCAAAGGCACAAGTTCTTGAGGGCCGAGGCATCTAGCAACATTTTGAAAAATAGAGTCTCAGAAATAGCGTTTCCAGAGGTTTTCAAGAGGTATTTTGCACCGCGGACGTCAGGTTGTTTCGTCAGAATACACACAAGACTGGGAGCAATGCCGTCGAAATGTCCCAGTCATCTAAGACATCGCGCGGTTTAAACGTTTTACAGATCTAAACCTGTTAGAATATGCGTTCAACGTCATTCAAAACTGGGAAACGGATTCCTTACAATTTTATTCGATGGTGCTTACTTTTTGTTAGCAGCTATGGTAGAAGGAGATCAAGGTAGCCGGCTAAAGAGAGCTATAACTAGCCGGAGGTTTTGGTTGGCTACCATTCTCGTCCCCAGAGCCGACAGCCCTGCACATGCGCTATTCTTAGATTAAGCAGGTATAATTTTCTCGCGTCCGTTCGCAGACCTACAAGAAGAAGATATTTAAGTTATTCCAAGCTGGGTGTAGAGACTATTTTGCTTTCTGGCCTCCGCCTGTTTTTCTATGGCATTTTACTTGTTTTAAATCTTGATAAGTCCCACTCAATCCGGAGTCTGTGGATGTTCCTCACACGATCTTACTTGGACGTCTCTCTGCAATGTTTCCAATTCACAAAAACTTAACGCCGTCGTAGCTTTGAAACAAGCGGCAGGTCAGGGTGTCGCTACTACTGGCAAACCAGAGGTATTGTTTTGGGGAAACGCTTAAAGAATTCACGACGAAGAGTGTCGTATCTCTCGCCACCAACAGACACAGCACGGTTGAAAAAGCCGTGATAAAGCTCTCATTAGAAGTTCACCTTACACATGATCAAGCTTTTTGGGAAACTTAAATTGAATGATAAGAAAAAATAAAGCTAAATTTACAATTT